ATAAGTATTCTTTTATCTTTGGTTGAAATAGAATAATTGATAAATGTAAGCGTGCAGATATAGCGCGTGCCTGATAACGTTCCGATAGAAAATGTAACGGAGAGTTACAATTTCAATACGAAATTATCTGCATGTGTGACACGTGTTCAAGGGGTGTAAATGTGCGCTTGTTTTAAAAAACATACTTTTCGAGGATTTTGTGGTATAATAAATACGTAAAATGATTGATTCTATGCACCAGTTGCCGATTTCTTTTACTAGTACAAAATTTGCTTTTTTTTCCAGTTGAAATATTATTTAACTACAAAAAGACAATCTAGTAGTTTCGAATTTAACTATTGTTTTAAGTAATTAACAGCAAAAACGCATAAAGTGATAACTTCAGACATTCCTCAGACGTATTAGCAGCAATTCTGTGAAATAACGTGTCAAATTGCAGTTTCTTTCAAAGTGCACACTGTGATGTAGTTAACAGATTCTGATTCGCACAGGAAATCGCGAAGTTGTTGCAGTCGCCTTTAGTCCAGGCGACAATCTCTTGTGCTCAACTTAACATGTATCAGAATTTGTCACTTTCTCTTTGTTGCATAATGGACTTTTCTTTGCTTTTCTGAAAGCGCCAAGTGGTAGGTAAATTGAATTTCAATTTTGTTTTAATCTTTTCCATTTGGTATTAGAAGATTATTTTCAAAATCGTTTAAATTTGGTTGTTTTTTCTAACTTCAAACACTCCTTTTTTTTGGTAAATTTTTAATATTACTTATTTCTTCTTTTAAGATTCTCCCACAAAATAGTTGCTTTTTAGTATAATCATTAACTTACGATTAATTGATATTTTGTTATCTAATTATAAATCCAAAAATTTCTTGACTGTTTTCTTAAGTTTTATGTTAGTTCAAACAAACAGTTTTTGTTAAAAAAATTTAATTCAAATTTCGTTTTGTACTGCTTGATGTTCATCAACAGTTAATATTGTGTTTATTTACTTTTTTCGGCAGAAAATAACAATTACCGAACGGTAGATCAGATTACGAACGCCCACTGCCACCTCACATGCACCTATTTATCAATTGAAAATGAGAAAGTAAAGCCTAACTATTTGAGAGATTGTGTGTGTATGAATAGTTAGCTACTCTTTACAATTACCTGAAGGTTATGGCATGACTGTGTTGAGTAATTCTTGCATTCGGTTTCGTAACAAACGTGTTATTACTGTCCTATAATAATATTGTTAATAGACTTGCTTGTTAAAGTTGTTAAATGAACATTGAAGTAAAATGCACTTCATATTGGAGGTCAGATATCTTACGTCAGACAATAACCATCATCAGTTGTGCAAAGCCGAATCTGCTAAATGCACTATCGCAGTAATACTAAAGGTCAATTTGAGATTCACCGGATAGTAATTTTGCCGGGTACTGAAACGTCCAAGCCAACCATTAACCCCGTTCAAAAAGTCGTTTAAACACTAATAACCAATTAAATTTTAAGTTTTTATTAACGAATTTTTAGTCTGATGGTTGAGTTGAAATGAGCCTATAATAAAATAATTCGAAATGGTCTGTATTCTGTCGAAACGGCCAGACGCGGATCGCGATTTCGATCTTTTTGGATCTCATCAGCGCGTCGCAGGCAGCTCCGGCAGAATACAGACCAACTTTTAGCTGCTGTCTTAACAGTGCGTTTTAGAAAATACTACAAATGGCGCAGTAAACGCCATCTGTAGTACGATGCTATATTTTAGGATTACGTATGCTCCAACAAGGTTCACTTAGACCTTGCTTATTAAGCAAACGTGCCTATCACGTTGATGTTGGCTACGCCGGGATTCGTTTTCAGCAAGTAAATATCCACACAAGTGCACCTTGTTGGAGCATACGTAAACCTAAAATGTAGCATCGTACTACAGGTGGCGTTTACTGCGCCATTTGTAGTATTTTCTAAAATGAACCTATAATGTTTATAAACACTAATAAATGTCTACAAGGTGACAAAATCATACTAATAAGTTATCGTTAATTGATGTACCAGTAAGCTGCAAAAATTGTAACAATTTGGCATACTACACAGGTAAAATGAATAAGGAAAATCTATCTAAATATTAAAGCGATATTTACAATTTATCCCACTAGCCCGTTGCTTATTAAGCTAAATGGAAATAATAAAAATTACAATTTGGACCTGAATTTGTATAAATAAAAAATAAATTTGCTAGCCATTTTAGTTGATATTACAAATTAAATTGTAATAATTAAGAAACTTGAAATAATTTTTAAAACAGCATGTCAAAATTGATATTATTACCTAACCTATCGAAAATTGTAATTTTTGCTTTGCCTTAAAAATTTTGTTTTCTTCATACAGAATAACATCGGCAATCGTTAAATTTTCATTAGATCAAGTATGTTCTTGTGATCACTTTCACGTTTTACATTTCCTGCTAATGCAGCCTGTATACCGAAAGGAAACTTAACGTTTAAGTGTGAATATTATCAAATTGTATGAAATGATTATGGAAATAAATAACATTGGAAGTGTATCAGACAGGTATTTAAAAAATACGTTCAAAAACCTTGCTACAAAATGAATATAGTAATCCCATATGTTCAAAAGTTGGAAAACACCCAAAAACGACTTTCTTCAGTAACAGTGGTAATTGCTTAAAGTAGAATTTTCAGATTATTACTAAAACGTTAGGGAGGGAAAATATTTTCCTTAGCGTTACAATAATTACGTCACTGTGGAGCGAGGGGGGGGTCAAAGCATAAGTAACGTCACGTGGAGATATCCCAGTTTAGTTTCTTATGATGTAATATAATGTAGTGTACAAAACTATCCCTAATCAATCATTTTTAAACTTTAGTTATTGATTTTAATTGCTAATGCAGTAATCACCGACTAGAATTTTGAGAGGGATGCAGGTAGGGTCCCTATGTGGGTAGTCACTGCCCCTTGTGGGCCCCATAAGGTTGCCCCCCAGGGCAAGGAAGGGGGAATTTACACCCTGCCGCATTTGCGCATCATCAGGAATGCCGCATGTGGCCTCGCGGGTGAAAATTATTGCTATCCCATTAAAAATTTTTGGAAATTATAGGAAATCCATCCCTATATATCGGCATGCTCCTTATTAGCCACATGAGGTCCGTAAGCTACATGCGGCATGCCCCCTTATAAATTCTAGTCGGTCACCTAAGGATTAATGTTAATTTTGTCCTTAGAAAACATATGTTTCCCTTTCTGTACGTAAACCGCAGTATGAAAAAATAACGAATCCGCAACGCGTTCTAGGTAAAAATTTCGGTCATTGGCCGACTTCGGCAAATGCTTACAATACATAAACGTACATGTATTTATGTATAAGTACCTACATAAGAACGATGACGAAACTGTTATATTTTCATTTTTGGTATCCAAAAAAGAAAAGCGCTTGACCTTTGCGTATACACAAAAGGACGAATTACGACTCTTGCCAAGTTTTTATCGATATTGTGGTGCATTGCCAAGTTCAAAAACGTGCAAACTCATAACGCTCAAAATTCTTTTTCTGAAAATAACAAAATAATTTCAAACTATTCAGCTTTACATATTGTTACGTTTCTGTTTCTAGTCTGTTTTCCGGTGTTTTTTTATTAACGAATATTAATAAAGCACATTTAGTGAATAATTTCTATGTGCAGATTACATAAATTAGTTCATTTAATGGGTGTACAAATTTACAAATAAAGATATATTATAAATATTGTTTAAATGAAACCGAGGGCTAACAAGAACACTATAGTGTAGAAGACATAAATTTAACAGAAATTTTAAATTTTCCTGCATACTTATAATAATAATCTAATTTTGATGTCGAAGATTTCTTTATAAAATCTAAGACTTACAATTACTGTTTAAGAATCATAACCAATATGGTATTCTTCAAGAACTTGGTCAGGGGATATGCAGGTACATTGTTTTATTTACTAAAACAAGTTTTTGTTTTCTTCACACCAACAATAACGTGACAAAAGGTACGAGTTTGTTACCTTAAATTATTAAAACTTGTGATAAAGATAAAAAAATTGAAACACTGCCAGAGGATTATTTTGTCTCTAATTGTAGGACAAGTAGAGGTTATAGGTATCTAAAGTTTATATATTTGGCATCTATGTCACATAAAGAAGGCATATTTAGATCATAATATGTAACGTGACTAGCTGAGACCGTCTAAATTTGGACGGTGGGTGCCGTTATCGATGGTGCATAGCAATTACATTTTAATTTTTGAATAATTTTATAATTAATATTTTAATCGTCAAACATTTTCAATTATCAATTCTAAGTAATCGATTAATTAGTATCAAATACTCAGGTCTGCAATCCCTTGAAACTGTGCAAAAAATCAAATTTTTACGAATATTCGTGGTGCACTCGCAAGGAAATTCAAAAAAACACAAGTAAAAGGAAAAATCCGAAAAATATTTTTTTAATTGTAATACAGTACAACCTCGATAATTCGAACGTGTGTTAATGCGAACAAGGAACACTTGAAGTCATAATCGTAGCAAATTTTGATAGTCTGAAAAAGTTCGAACAGCGCAGGCGGGGCAACGTCACTTCGCTCGAGAAGCGGCTGCTGGAGCTGGAGACATGCAAAATCTTACATTTGTCTATCTTACGAAGCTATTACGTTAACAGCTATGAAATAGCATCAAAATGCAAACACATTGCATTATCAGTATAGAAAAAAGTTGATATTATTACAAGTTCAGAGTCTGGAGCTACGACTATATCTTACAAGTTTACGGCTAACTGTGTGATGGATCAACGACAGTACCTAATTTTAGTGTACAACATTTATTAAGTGCAACAATTAGAACTTAGAATGCCGATTCATTATAAAAATGTATTATTATGCAAGTAGTTAATTAAAAGACTAAGAATAATTTAAGTACCTGTTTAACGTCAGTTACCTTATTTCTTGTTGATTAATATTAATTTTCATCTTTTTTTTGTTACAGCTAAAAATATTTTCCAATCTAGTGTTGAAATGGACACCCAGCAACAACAATTCTGTTTGAAATGGAATAGTTTTGGAACAAATCTCGCCACATCATTTAGCAATCTCTTCAAATCCGAAAGTTTAGCAGATGTGACGTTATTTTGCGAAGGTACGATTGACTTATTATATACATCAAACTTCATAAACTTTTTTCGCTTCTGTTAATTTCAATTTCATAGTAAAAAATTATTATATTGTATTAGTGAGATTTTAAAACCTTAAGAATTAGTTTATAGAAATACGACATTTATTAATTGCTTATTAACTATGAAACTCGTTTTTGTTGATTTGCTTTGCGTTAGAAATGTTTAGCAGTATATTTTATTTTTGAACAATTCAAATTTAAGACAGTCGCCAACCATAATACGGAGCGCATTGAAGATGTAATTTGCTAAGAATTGCGAAACGTCCAACCTATAATAGCAAATACACTTTAAACTGATTTATTGAATAATTTCTAGTTACTCTGACGTAGTTTTAGAATTTAATTGAATAGTAATAGCAAACAAATTTCATTCTGTTCAACTGCAAATTGCTCCAAAGAAAGATTAATTGTGGTTATGCAGTTGGGCTTTCGAATGGTTACTTAGAGGTGGAGAAGACAGAGGGCGATCAGGTCTTCGTCAACAAACCATTGACTGTCCATTGTTCATAAGAGCTTTGGAAACAAATAAACTATGATAAACAACAGGCGTTATATTTTCTTTCGGCATGTTGTGCGTGAAACATGTTAGAGGTTAGACGGTTCATCTTCCGAAGATTACTTTTGTGGCACGTACGTAGCCGGTCCATAATAACACATTTCTAGTAACGATGAAATGTAAAGGAAATTTTTTAGTATAGTCTTCTGTAATATCAACACACTTTTGACAGCTTTGAATTAACATCTCTATTTAAAAAAAAATATTCAGAACTTTGTTATCAAAATGACTTAAGGCAGCGCTTTTATCCTTCATGTCTCGCTTCAACTTTAGAAAAAGAACATACTCAGACGGCGAAGTTCGAATTGTACACGGGAAGGATCGACCTCAATGAAGGCGTACTCAACAATTACAGACTTCGGCAGTATTCACGGGGCATTATCATAAAGCAAGTGTAGAGAAACCTTTAGAGTTGTTAATCCTTTATCATCTTTCGAAGTTTATGTATTAGTGCAACGTAATATTCACTGGTTATGGTGGTATTCAAAGTTTTTTGAAATCAATCTTGAAAATCTTAAAATACAAGAATTGCTATATTTATTTCTGGCCTAACATTTATGACCGCAATTGGTTTTATTGTTTTTCAAAACATTCTCTATAAAAATCTTACACTTTTCCCACTCCGAGTAAGATAATTCTAAAACATGCGTTTTGAATACGTCTTCTAGTGTCGAAAATCCTTGACCATGTAATTTGTTTTTGATGTACGTTAATAAAGAAAGTTATTGGGTGCCAAATCAATTTGTGTTTTGGTCGATCAAAAATTCCGTTGTTTGAACCGATGTGTGAGAGCTCGCATTGTCATGTTGAAGAATGATTAGTCTTTTTTACTTTTTCGGTGGTCGTGTACCATTCAGAAATGACCATCGTACGTTGTTCTAGAGCCAGTGTCGTCAAGTTACCGCCGGTAATGCTTCGATGTGCTTCTTCCGCAAATAACTTTTGCTGGATTTGGTTCTTCTTGGAAGATCCATATGTAGTCGATTGCTGTTTTGCTTCAGGCTCATACGCGTAGATTGTTATACTAAAATTGCGCCTACTGATGGGGCACAAATTTGGTTATGCATAGGTAGCAGTTGCAGGTCGATATGTACCCCCCAAACGAAATAACTTGTCTGTTGCAGGTTTGTCAAACTCCTTTCGGTAAATCCCGAGGTAGACTCAGTCTCGCGTAGGATTAGACACAAAATCGTTAGGTAAAAATCGAAACACGCTGTTGGTTTGGACTTTGAAAGTCTTTTTGCCACACTTGATAATTAACTACCCAAACATAAGAGTGACGGAGCTTCGATCTTTAACCTCAAGAAATATCTATACATTCAACAAAACTTGACAGCTGCTCTTTCGGCTAAGAGTGCAAAGAGTACAACACTATAAATACTACAGTAGAACCTCTATAACTCGAACATCAAGGGAGACGCAAAAAAAATCGAGTTGTAGAGTTTTCGACTTATGGAGGATTTTGACTTAAGCAGATTTTGATTTAACTTGTAGAGGTTAAGATTTGGTTACTTACATTGTAGGCAAATCCTTAAAGTCGATAACTTAGTTTTTTTCAAACTATAGACGTTATAAGTTTCAAATTATCAAGTTGTAAAGGTTGTAAAATAAAACATTGCTATGTTAGAAAGAGTGGAGGTACGTGTCCAACCAGTCTTAGAACTTGACGACCTTATGATGATGATGGTCGAAGTACAGAGGTCCAATTTAATTTTTCGAGTTATAGAGGGAAAATATGTGCCAAAACGGCTTGCAGGGACTAATTTTTTCAACTAATAAATGGTTGAGATTTCGAGTAATTAAGGTTTTGGGGCTTGATGGGAAGGGAAGAATACATTTTTTCAAGTTTTGGAGGTTTTCGACTTATCGAGGTTCAACTTAAAGAGGTTCTACTGTATATAAATTTTTGCAGCCGCAATAACGCAGAAACCTTTCGTACAAAATTTCTCTAAAATGTACGAAAGTTTTACTTCGTTCTTTACTGTTGTAAAAGCTTTCATGATGTTTTCTTCGATAAACGTGATTGTTAGATCACATACCTAAGAAAATGCCACTTTTTGGTCAATGAGTGTGGTGGAAAATAGCATATATAATAGGGGAGGAAATTAACTAGCGGTTTGAGACACTTCAATTTTCCTACCTATGTTATGATTTAGTCGTTATTGCGGAGTTCAAGGCGGCTTAAATGATGTGATGGTCAACCCTCGGCCCATGCAAAAAAGAGTTGTCTACGATCTACGTCTCCGTTCTTAATATTTAATTAGGTATTCTATAATAGGCATTTATAGGTGTACGTATTGATTATAGGATCTTTATGAATGTTCTGCATGAAATTGTTCTACATTAACATTTTCATTGTCGTGGATACATGAAACATACAGATGGTAGTGATACATACAGTAGTACAGCAATGATGATTATTAACAAGGAGCTATAATAGTATGTACTCGAATTGGAGTACAAGGCACGTTAGCTTGCTCGGTAACTATTCAAAGCATGTGTGATGCTTCTTTAGATATTCTAATAGTGATTATTGACTTTTTAGTCGTAATGTCACGAATATTATTATCGAAATATTTTAAACAGCAAAAGCAGTCAAAAAGTATACAACAATTGTTATTTATTAGTACCTATTTATCTAAAGGTACAATCTAAAAATAAAAAAGTACTCAAAGTTTAACGTTTTTAAACAGTTATGTAGGGGTAACCACTTTTTGTGTCTACTTACAGGCGAAACATGTCTATTAAGTTATTACCACCTAAAAATTTCAAAGACGTACAAAATGTATTAACTGTTGTAAATTTGTCCTGAAAAAAATTGTCGCCTATGTATATTGAAAAATAACCCCTGACACGAAGTTACTACTATCACCCATAAACCATAAACATATGCCCACTAAAGACATAGGAAAAAAAAAAACAATTGCTTAAACTTGTTTTGTCGAACCGGGGTCGGTGGTGAGCAGCAACAATATTTTATGAATTTACAAAATTTTCGTTAAATTGCTAAATAATATTTTTTTAAATAATTTCGTTATGTTTTTTATTCGATAGTTTTATGAATCCTCAATATAATGATACCGATGCTATATATTAAAGCGTAACTTCAATCCGTCTCATATGATAACGAGTTATGAGTTCGATAAGTGAATCTCAGAAACAAAGGCTAATTGATATAACTAAAAAAGATACACACGCGAAAATTATGTCGGTATTTCAAATAAAAAACAAAGGAAATTAATTTTTTTATATACACCACGTGTTGATATTTATTTTTATAATGTATGAATTTTATATCAGTTGTACTTAAAGAATAATAGGACACCAGGTATAGATGGGATACAGACGAAATTTTAAAACATGCAGGACAAGAGCAAGTAGATATCCATATTTTTAAATGGACCTTGTTGGAGCATACGTAATCCTAAAATGTAGCATCGTACTGCAGATGGCGTTCACCACGCCATTTGTGGTATTTTCCAAGAGGTTAGAGATTGTATATTTAAGCTAGTTACTCACAATTACGACACGGGAAAAGTTCCTGAGGATTATAAACAGAACGTGGTAGTAACCATATCTAAAAAGAGAGGCGCGGATAGATGCGAGATATATAGAACAATTAGCTTAACTTCCCATGCGTCAAAAATCTTAACTAGAATTGTACAGAGGATAGAAAAAAGGGCGGAAGAACTATTAGGGAAAGATCAATTAGGGTTTAGAAGAAATAGAGCCCATTCTAGCTTTACGAGTAACAATAGAGAAAACGATAGAAAAAGAAAAGTGCTTTGGATTTTTAAGTTTATAAAAAGTTTTTGACAATGTTAAATCCGACAAGATGTTAAATATATTTAAAAATGTAGGAATGAGTTATAGAGATAGAAGAGTGTAATACTTAGTTTGTATAAAGAGCAGCAGCCATCGAAGACGCGATCAACATCGTTAAAGACAAACTGTAGAGTGAATATAAAGATAGGAGACAAAAGATAAGCAGAAGTGGCTGATCATAGGTATTTAGGAAGTCAGATAAGTCAGAACGGAAGGAGTAATAGGGATATAAAGCAGAGAATAGCGCAGAATCGAGTCGCCTTCAGGAAAAATAAGTCACTTCTATGCTCCTGAACGATTAATTTAGAAATTCGAAGAAAATTGTTAAAGGTGTATTTGGAATGCGGCGCTGTACGGGTGCGAAACAGACGGTGGGCGCGGCAGAAAAGAAAAGATTAGAAGCGTTCGAAATGTGGTGTTAGAAAGAACAGAGAACAGAGGAATCTATGGAAGTCAATAAAAAATAGGCGAGATAGTTTGGTAGGACACCTGCTTAGACAATGATGGTCAAGTCAAGACATATTGGAGGCAGAATCAGAAGTTAAGCGAAGTAGAGGTAAACCTAGATAAGATTACTGTTCGCAAAAAGTTAAGGAAGTATGATATTCTAGTTTTAAGGAAATGCGAAGAATTAGCTCAGAATAGGAAGGAGTGGAGGTGCGTGTCCAACTACTCTTGGGACTGACGACCTTATAATGATGACGATGTATCACAATATTGTTCGAAAATCGTACCTTGTTGGGGTTGTTTTATAAAAAAAAAAGATCGTGAAAAATTTATGAGACGGTAAAATTTGGAAATTTTCAATTTGTAAATATATCACGTTTTTAAACCACTAGGGAATGTACCTTGAATAAATAAAAATAATAAATAGGTACCATAATAAAACGAGTTAAATTACTGATTAAGTATCAGGGTTTGTCTTTAAAAAAGATGCGTGCTCTTTACGTTTTTTGACGACAATTATTTACAATATTTTTTTTGTGGCGCTTAATTTAACCGTACTTTCAATGGAGATTATGCTATTTGCGTGTTAAGATAGTTCTACCACTGAAAAAGCAAGCGCAACAAAATTGTTTTTTTTTTTTAATAACCACTGGTACTACTTACTTAAAGTTATTGTAATAGAAAACTTCATAATATTATCTCAAATTATAAAAATAAATAACATACTTAGTATATATGTATAACAAAAGAAATTACTGTTTTTTATTTGATATACTGACATTCTCGCGTGTGCATCCTTTTTTTCTGATTTATCAATTTTTTTGTGTCATTTTTTTTTCTTTTCTGAAATTGGCTTATCGAGCTTATACCACGTAATCGTATAAAAGGGACTGAAGTTACGCTTTAATGTATGTCAATATCATTATTGTTATTGAGGATTTAAAAAACTGCCGAATAAAAAAACCTGAAATTATGAAAAATAATGATCATTAGAAATTTAACGAAAATTTTGTAAATTCATAAAATATTTAATTACAATTAGTTGCGGCCACCCCAGCAGCTTGACTTTTTACTTGACAAGATAGGTGACATTCCACTTTACAACTTTGTTAAAATGTTTAAAGGGCATTCAATATCAAAAATGAATACTGTATTATGAAATATAAATATTTAACTATAGAATGACGCTGATTTCGTGTCTTAATTGTTATAAACAAATATACAGTGATTAAAAAAATATAACTCCGCTTCTAGAGGCCTTACACAATGCAGGATTTACCAATCAACCTAGAGACTGCAGATTTTAGAGTTACAAAAAGTGCTCATGCAACATCCCATTAATTTAGAGGTCAATTTGATTCTTCATACTATTCATTGTCACACGTTTCCACTATCAAGACATCAATACTTATGTAATTTTTTCTGCTACTTTTACCCGAACTTGGATATAGCTCTTTGCATTCTGGTCATAAATTATTTTGAAGAAAAAAGCTATCCTTGTTTAAATCAAGTGAAGAATTATGAGGGGTCTTCGTTATCTGAAGAACAAGTTAAATTTTTGGATCTTCAATGTATTGATAGATGCATAGATAATGAACATCATCAACTTTGACGTTCGAAAATGTGTCGGTCAATTTTTGTCCAAGTCTGTCTGGTTTGTAAAAGAATGTCCCATATAATAGCTTGAACAGGTACACACAGTATGTACTGTTATTTCTAGGCATAGGTATAACAAGGCAAAAGGTAATGGTTACTTAATGGCACCTAATAAATCACCCTAATCCGATCAACATTGGTTGTCTATCTTAATTTTTGTTATTTAATTCCTTAACAAAATCAAAATATTTCTGTTTGTCTAACATCTAACAAAAATCGGGCTTTGTACTTTTCTCAAGTTCTAGGAATTTATTAAGTTTTAAGTTTTTTTTTTAAATAAACCAAAAATGAAGTGCCTTCAAAAAAAGCGCTTCGTACTTGGGTAGATAACGACAGCTTATTTTTGAGACTTCGACAACTCTTCTAACTTGTATATATACATCAAGAGTAATTCATTCAATAAGATTCAATAAAATATCGTTTGTCTGGAAACGACTGATATGGGTCCTTAAGAAAAGTTAATCAGGCACTGGTTCTATAGTCACTTTTTTAAAGTGTGTGTTTCGATTTCAGTAATCGTTTACAAAAAAAATCAAATCTAGAGTTCATAAGAGGCACGTGAGGTCACTTGTTTATAACAAAAAACGAACCCTTTTTTGATAAGATAAACTTGATGACTCTGTTAAAGCTTGAAATTGGTGACCATTCATAGCACGTTTTGGCTGAAAGAAAGTAGATTTTTATAAACAAATAGCAATATTTCGACAATAAATTGTCCAATTTGTTTAAAACAATATCAATTGAGTAAAAATTTGAACAGCTTCAATTTTAGATAATAAAAGTAATAAAAATTTTTCGTGACAACGCGGGCTCTACTTAACGACAAAGAAAGAGATGCGTTTGAGAGAGAAAAATTGTAAATAATCAACATGTAAGCAAAGGTCATTTTAGATCGGTTTTTTTACGAAAAATTTGTTTTGATGAAAAAATTTATTTGATGATTTTTTTGTAAGTTTCTAGAAATTAAAAAGTAATTTTTTTTTGCAACTTTGGCCTCTCCCCCACACTAATTACCATTTTGATCACTCATATTGTGCTCAAAGACATAAATAATGTCCAATACGTGGCATCCTGTTGCCAATAATTTTGTAAATTTTCCCCACTCAATGGACTAACACGTTACGCCGAATAGTTGTGTAATTGGCTACACCGTGTACCCCCCAAAATTTTGCATACTTTAATAATTACTTCACATAGTTTACGATCGGAGAGGTCTTTTTAAGATCCACATTACTGTAAATAAAAAGAAGGATATAATTATGTCAAGACTATTCGTTCGTGTTGTCTTTTTCATTCTGTAACTTTATGATCTTAATAGTAATAAAATAAAAAAATATTTGGTTACAGTTAGAATAGGCTAGGTTCATAAGGTTATGGTAGGAAAAGAGGATACGAACGAAGTGGGTGTTGTTGTAGTCATGTCCGTTCTTTTGTTTACGGGAATGTGGACCTTTTAAATACTTTTTTTTTGTATAATTATCCTTTGCATCCTTGACTAGCACCAACTAAGTCTTTCAATTGTTCGAACATTGTCTTGATAACCGGAACATCACTTAATTTTAATCTCTTAAATTTTATATTATAGATTGCATAGAATTTCATTGTAGTCAAGTACTTACGAAAAATAAATAAAAAGTAATGTCACGTTTTGCATCAATTTTAAGTTTGTTCTCGTTTTCTGTCATCTACTCCAAAAAGATGCCATTTAATTTAATAAGCTACGTATATACAGTAGTGACGAGTTAAGAATCGAATATAGATATACATACAGTGTAAACTCTTTATAAAGTTACTCGATTTAACGACAAACTCCTTAACACGTCGAAATTGCTTTACTTTGGTTGGACAACAATGCGACATTAGAAATCATTAAGCAGTACTTTCTAAGTTGCCGAAATAGATAAGAACTGCAGCTGTGTACGTTGTTGAAGAAGACGATCCTGTCCCTCCACCAAGCATCAAACAAGCACTTGATGCAGCGAAACTATTAAAAAAATACTTTTTATATAATCAAATTGATCCGGCAGTATCTCAAGATATGAGTAAGATACGTAACAAAATACAATTAAAAAAATTGAAGCAGCAAAAAACATCAGACGAAGATAACAGGCTATACGCAATGTATGAATAATAATGTTCGTGTGCAAAATGTGTACTATATTGGTAAATGCATATTATTATAGAATAGCAAAATAATATCTTTTATTTCTCTCCATTTAACGACCACTCTTTATAACGCCGAAAAATGTTCAGTCCCTCAAGTGTCGTTATATAGAGTTTACACTGTATTTTATTACTTGCAATCATCAACGTACAACGTAGTACAGGAAAAATAGGTGTAGTATCTTTTCGTATAAATAATAAAATAATATAAGTCCAGCAAATTTAATTTACAGTTTTTGAAATAATTTGTCCAAAAGATTTTGAAAGTTCGGTTTGTTTAGGACAGTTTCGAAAACTAGGGGATATTTTCAGTTATAATTGACAGTTAAAAAAATATATCGAGTTCTGATGAAGCCAATAGTGGCGAAACAATTGTTACTTTTTTAAACAAAAGTGTGCATTTTCGCTCATGCGATATAAAAAGAATTCCAACGAAGAAATGTGTAATTTCCATGTTTAGCTAATATTTTATTAAGTTGGACAAGTTCGCAAAAAACACTAAATTATATTTTTTATACGTATTTACAGTTTTCACGTCGTAGAACGAACAGTTATCAATAATTATTATTAACTGATAAGCATAACCTTTAATTTAAAACTTATAACTGTTTAATCTGTGTTGTATTAAGACATGATTTTGCAGTGTATGAAATTGGCAAGTCTACTGCTTATTTCATGAATTTTGCCGGGTACACGTAACAGGCAATTGTATGTATTTGGCGTTCTCTTAATCATATATATTAACTCTATGTTTATTAATTTATAACGATCACATAAAACAGCTATTTCTAGTTTCTTGAACAATATGATGAATTATTATTAGAATTTCCTAGTTTTTTGTCTCTAATTCAAGTACACACATAGGCACTAGTTTGTTTATTTCTGCTAAGTGAAATAAGAAACATTGAACGCGTTTTTATTTGCTTTGTAACTTTCTTGTTATCTTTTCCTTTATTTTTACAGGGGTAACATTCAAGGCTCACAAATTGATATTAGCTGCGTGTAGTAAGCATTTAGCTGACCTCTTCGAAACAGCCCCATTACATCAAAATTTATTGGTAATATTAGATGGCACGTCAGCAACGAACATGTCCGCTTTATTGGAGTTTATGTACAAAGGGGAAGTACACATTTCGCAAGACGCTCTTTCGAGCTTTCTCAAGGCAGCTGAATGTCTACAGGTAGGGTATAAGCTTAATGTTTACATGAAATTCATCATCATAAGGTCGTCAGTCCTAAGTCTGGTTGGATACGCACCTCCACTTTTTTCTATCCTAGGCTAACCTTCCCATTTCCTTAAAACATATATATATCTCACATCCTTATCTATTTGCGAACAGTAATCTAATCTAGGTCTACCTTTATTCATTTTAACTCCTGTTTCTGTTTCTAGTATGTCTCTGACTAGCCCTTCATGCCTAAGAAGGGCCTACCAACCTGTCTCGTCTTTTTCTTATTGATTTTCATAAATTTCTATTCTCTTATTATTTCGAATACCTTTTTATTTCTAATCTTTTCTATCCACGGTATCCTCATCATTCTTTTGTAACACCACACTTCTAACCTTTTTTTTTTCCGCCGCGCCCACCCATAAGATTCGATGAATTAATATATAAACACTAAGGAAGTAAAATAATTGACAGATTTTCCTAAATTTGCTGAAGCCAAAATGTTTGTGCCAAATTGTAATGTATCACCATGGGGGCGTCAGTCTTCAGCCATTCTCCACGTTTCCCCAAAACCAGAAAGAACCATATGTGAACCGTCATCTATTTTGTTGTGTCTACCTTTTTACGCTTTTAATATCTAAAACCAACCATTTATTACAAGGTGCCATATTATCCTACGTCTCCTTTTCTTTATTAACATCTATAGCGTCTTATCGGTCTTGTTTTCTATATTATAGGTAAAGGGTTTAAGTATCGAACACGAAAAACTGGCAGTGGCCCAGAGTCAACCGAATATTGACTCGTCATTGGAATCACCTACCTCAAGAAAACCATTCCGAGTTCTCAAAGATGACTCGGATCAAACTTCGAATATGCAACAGCAGCAGCAACACCAGCCCGGCTCGTCACCGTCTTATTCACCCTCAATGTCACCATTCATGCATCCATCCCAATACAGACAACAATTCGACCAACGTCTACCTCCAACGAATACTTCTTTTGAAACAGCTCAACAGCAAAAACGATCACTGCGCAGCCCCAACGATATGCTACAAGAAAGGGCGTCCGTGTTAAGGGACGGAAAAGCTGCGACGCGACCTAATTCGCCACCCCCTGTTTCTTTAGGGTACCGCTTGTCATCATCAGGTTCTTGTCCGCTTCCATCTCCACATGATGAAGGAGGGAATTCAGAGGCGCATTACCATCCGGACCCGTCAGCTACTTCATTAGTGTGTCCAGAGAATGCTAGTGAACATTGTCAGGATCCAGGATGTCCCGAAGGTAGTGTTTTATTGAAAGATTCATGAAGAATATATTTATGCTCTTCTAATGTTTTTAGATTTACGTATGAAAATTGACCCAGTGCAGGAGGAACATTTAAGTACATCAGGGAACGGAAATATAGGAGAAGGTGGTAGCGGAAGTAGCGGAACAGCAGCTCCAAACGGTTCAGTGGGTCCAGTAACGAGTTACGATATAAAAAGGAAAGATACGGATTTGATGTCTGCGACATTATGGAATTCGGTCGGGAAGATTGGAAAAAGTGGTTCTGTTACCACACCTGATGGTAAGGGCATTTCTTTTTTTGGTAATTTTTTACGTTAGTTGACATTGGAATTGAGACATGAAGTTTAGTGAGGTAGGTAGTACCCACCAAGTAAAGTAGTGTAGTAGTATTTACTAGAATTTTGTTTATTATTTGTTTAAAAATGAATGTGAGTGAGATACAGACCCTTAAAGTTTTCTTAATCGGAGGAAATTTCGGTAGGTACGGCCCTGGCTTCAGCCTTCCGTCAGCTGTTCCCGCCAAACATCGTTTGTCCTAAAAGATCCTCCACATTATTCCAATATATCAGCCAGGGGCATTGTAGAAACTCGAGTCTGTCATAAATCTACCTAACTAAACAATGACGTCATCAATGCATATTTGGCGAGAACAGCTAACGAAGGGCTGCAACCAGAGCCGTACCAACCGGAATTTCCTCATTTATCCTGTATCTCAAGCTACATTGGTTTCCGCATGGAATTAATACTACCACACGATTCTACTTGGTGAGTACTACCTACCTGACTAAACTTCATGTCTCAATTCCAATGTCAACTAATGTAAAAAATGACCCTTTTTTTTAGTTTTATTTTGAATTACTTAAATATAAACGTTTGGCCTCATCATCATAAGATTATCAGTCCTAAGACTGGTTGGACACGTACCTCCACTCTTTCCTATCCTGAGCTAAACTTCGCATTTCCCTAAAACTAGAACAGCGAAGGATGTGCGCTATTTTCGAATAGTAATCTAATCTAGGTCTACCTTTACCCCTCCTAACTCCTGTTTCTGCCCTACCAACCTATCTCGCCTATTTTTTAGTGTCTTCCATAGAGTCCTCTGTTCTCCTATTCTTTCCAATACCTCTTCATTTCTAACCTTTTCTACCCACGATATCCTCATCATCCGCCTATAACACCACATTTCGAACACTTCTAACCTTTTCTGTTCCGCCGCTCCCACTGTCCATGTTTCGCACCCGTACAACGCCGTGCTCCAAACATACACCTTTAACAACCTTTTTCGAATTTCTAAATTAATGGTTCGCGGTCATAGAAGTGACTTCTTTTTATTAAAGGCGACACGACGTTTGGCCTAATACTCTTTTTTTTTATGTAGGCAAAAAACTGAAGTGTCCTTTCTGTGAAAGATTGTACGGTTACGAGACGAACCTACGAGCTCACATTCGACAACGCCACCAGGGTATTCGGGTGCCGTGTCCTTTCTGCTCCCGCACATTTACCCGGAATAACACGGTAAGGCGACATATAGCTCGGGAACATAAGACGGAGCTGAGTCTTAAGGCATTCCAACAGACTCAGCAGGCGCATAACCATAACTAGCAAGCACTCTCACAATATACCACAGCCACCATCACAAAACAGTGAATGTTTTAGGTGCACGTGCAGTCGCCGCGCATGCGCACTAAATTCTCGTGCGTTGTAAATAAAAATGGGTAGTAAGAGGACTCCGTGTATGCGCGGCGATCGATTACTTGTCTGTGTTGTTAATTAATAATATTAATAACGATAAATATAATTGTTTTTGTTTTGGATTTTTAAAGTTCAAATGTTACAAGCTGGTCTTGCGTTTTTAAGAGGATTTTGTTTGTAACTGTTAATGAAAACGGGTGTGGACCAACGGACTGCTACTTAGGTCCGTGGTCCTTTTTTAATTATTAATTATTATCGTAATATTATCATACCTTTGTATGTACGGTTTCCGTTTCTAATTTAAGTTTGTTAGGTTTTGCTATATAGTTTTAATGTCAAGCAGATATAAACGAAATAGGAAATAGTTATATTAAACTGTTAAGCATAAAGGTTCATGATAATTTTAGGGGTGTGCAGGCTACTAAATTGACCAGTTTTTACAGATCTTTAACTCAATGCAATCAGGTGAATAGAATAACGGTCTAGTTGCAATACGAAGCTTTTTTTTACGATACCGTTCTCAGGAATTTACCTCCATCATTTTATAGTAATTTTTTAGTTATATTAGGGAGATACGTTATGTACTCGCGATTTTGATAGCAGTAGAATTTTTGTTTATATTATATTATTTGTTTTTTGTTCAGTTTTGTCGAGTGAAAGACAAACGATGCATATTAGTTTGCTTTGTGTAGGATATTTATTTTATTTTATGTTTTTTGCAAATGAATTAAAGTTACTCTCAACATTGCTCCTAATCGATTTAAGAGATGAATTATAAGAAGTGATGGAAAACGTGAACCATACGAAAGAAATATCAGTATACTATGTCCCAATCTACCTCAGTCTACCTCATTTATTATTTTTTTATATTTATACACATAATTATTACACATTTACATTGTTTTATAGTTATAACGTTAGATACATACACGTAGATGTTAGGATGCACATCCCTAAATAAATTTTTTGGCTCTGGCAAGAAAAATGGGTACATACTTATCAGTAAGGTGGTTTAAAATATTAATATCAACCTTTGAAATAAGTCTGTAACCCACCAGCCTCCATTACGAATTCTTCAGTAATTTTTATGTTATACTAGTCATCTAAGTGCAACAAAACCTCAAAACTAGTAATAATTTTATCTAGTATTTAGTTTTATGAACTCAGGTAAATGCTTGCGTGTTTAGGTATTTGTTGCTATTTCAGAGGTGTGTATGTATTTCAAATCAAATTCAAATTTATATTTTTGTACCCATTTTCCGAATTTAGTTGCTTTAATTTGTAGATGTTAATTATTAATTAATTAAATGGGTGTTTTAAGATGTTCAACATCTTCGGCAATGTGGGGAATGTATTTTTGGCATCTTCTTCGAATGACGATACCGTGACGTTCTTCTTTATTACAAAAACATCTGCATTACTTACGTGCAGAAGTTGAAACCGCAAATACCTCATAAAGTACAAATCTCAAAGCATACTGTTGTATATTAGAGAAGAGCTATATAAATATATTAAACAGAACAGAAGATATTTGTAAATGTATACATTATATAAGAGAATATGATCTTTATTGCAGTTTTTATCGTTGTATTTTCTACAAGGAGTTTTGCTTTTAAATGACAACTTGTTTGCTCAAAAAAAAATAGAAAAAATATAGGAATATTGTCGTAATCAGCAAACAAAAAGATACACAGTTTTTGTTCCTTGATTTATAATGCCAATTTTTATGGTTGTTAAAGTAAATAATACTTAGAAGTAAGTGTTTGATAAATGTTGCATTTTATTGGTGTATATAGTCCGTCTGTTTAAATTTAAACTAGTGTAACTGTCTTCATAAATTATATGAATTAAGTAACGAAACTTCACGTTATTGTCATTTTGAAGATTCTTAAAAAAATTACATAAAACATCTAAAGTGTCATAAGTGTATTTAATGTTTACTAGTGTGGTATGCAACCGTGAAATATCCTAAGCACTTGCTGTTCATCCCCCAATTTAACCCTATACTTCATAAAAAAAAAATGCTGTGAGTAGTAGTTATGTGAGCATCTTTGAATTATTGCATAAGAAAAGTGTAAAATTTTGTGTTAAAATGGGAGAAAATGAGCCAGAGGATACTTTTTTTTTTAATTTCTCAGATCGACTGAAAAAAATAAATACACTAGAAATTTCGACTACATTTTGTTAATCTTACTTCCAACTCTTGTAGTACTTCTTCAACTGAAGTAATACAAAGATTTCGGAAAGATTAGTTAATTTTTACCGTCATTCCTCTTGCTTATTTTGCGTCCTTTAGGAACCCTGTATGTGACAAAAAAAGAATAGTAACAAATATCAAAGTTACGATGGTTTCACAGTTAGTTGTCAACAGTAATGGATTTTTGTTTTGTTTACTAGTCATACACAATTCACTTCCCAGTCTACCTCAGGTATACAGTATTCGATTTTTTTAAAGTTAAATGCTTATATGTAATCTCAGCTCGACTTTTTTATTAACTAAAGAGTTTCTATTACATTGTTTAGCTGTATTTCATTATAAATATAAAAATAAGAGACATCTTTAGGTTATAAGAGTGATATTTATTTTAGGTGATATTAAAGGTGTCTCTCATTTTTAAACAAATCGCTCTATATTTGTAGAGCATTATGAGTAAGTTCATTTAAGGAAAATTTCCAGAAATTTTGTTTTATAATTTTTCGGCAGGTTTTGTTGATTTTGATTTGGTCATTTGAATTGGAAATTATTTTTTAGCAGTTACAATAGCTACTTTTGTTTTGCATAAACGCATTTAAAGTACTTTTGCTTATTGTAGGGTCATTTTTGATGGATTTTTTGCCTATATTTTGTAGTACACATTTAGAAATCTAATTTTTCGTTTTTAAGAGTGGTATTTTGTTTTTACATGCAGTTATAATTATTTCCAGCCCTGCGATTACAATAAAAAAGTACTTACATATTTGAAATTATTATATTTGTTGCTGTATATGCAAATGTGTTGTTGTGATTCAAATTCATTTATTTCCTTATTATTACCATGTTTTCTGTTTCCATGTACTAATTTTTTCTTTATAGATAAAATTAATGTGTGGCATTCAGGGTTCAAAACAAATCCTTGTAAATATTACATTTAATTTAGTAATTCTAATTTGTTATTTTTTTTTTTCGTTAATGAACACTTTCAGTTAGTTCGTTTATGCCCAGTTGTTTTTCATCAATATACTATTACATATATTTTTAAAAAATTGTTATGCACATCATTACCACCGTTTAGTTCTAGGTAAGGTAATAAATAGTTTTAATAGTAACATGACATCAGTATCGAAGGAAAACCAGGAATGCCGATTGAGAAAATTTTTTACTGAAAAAATCTAGAATGGAGCATGCAATATATTTTGATATATTAGGTATAGCGAATTACTGTAAGCATACAATCGGCACCGGTTGGATTTAGTAAGTAAAGGTTAAATTTGTAGAATTGCGATGTGAAGAAGTATATTGTAAGGTTTTGTATGTTTCTATGAAATGTTGTTCATCCCAAATCAAGTTGCTTAAATGTAAAATAAAATAAGCAACTAATTGTCTACTTACATATGTAATAGGCAATTTTGTACTGGTTGAATTTTCTACACAGTTAAGAGTAAATAGTCTGTAGGTGGTCTATAGTTGCAGAAGCCATTAACTACAAGATTTTTAGTATGATGAAATATCTGTCATTATAATGTTTAATGTTGGCATATTTAAAAAAAAATAGATACACAGGCGAAAACATTACCTATGAGTAGCACATTGGCCTACACCTTTCTGGAAAAATTTAAATTATTTAAGAAAAATTAGAAACTGTCTAAAACTAAGATACAATTGTTATTTAGTATGCAACTTTAGGTTTAGAACAATATAAACTATTGCCATTATTCATATTTAGACAATCAAAGTAATGTATTTACCTAAAATACGTTCTATCTATTTACATTTTAGCCAAAAGCAATAATAACGTCTGCTAGTACCTGTATGTAAATATGTATAAGTAGATTTTGACTTAACCCCAATTATTTGCTGTATGTTTTAAAATCGGAATACTGTATTTCGTTGTTATATAATGACAGCGTCTGCTAATTACGAGACCTCCTTCCTAATGTTAATTGCTAAGCAGTTTAATGAAAAGATACAACAAAATAAAAGATGATGATTCATTAAACTTAAAGATCTGTGTAGTTACAGGCTTCCAAAAAGATTTTATGTGATGGTATGTAGAATTAAATCAGTTATTTGGGTTGAACTTGAGAACAGTTAGTTCATATTTTTATTGTAAAATTCTGATACGTTTTACTTATTTGCCGTGGGTGTACCTAACTGTAAGAGGGAGTTGATGTTACGAATTTCTAGCAAAATTTTGAGATCATGCCGCACACGTCAGCAGCATGATCGTTTTTAATAAATGTTGAACCCTACCTGGACTATTATAAACTGAAGTTATTAAGAATCACATTAGCACATTGTAAACGTTTAATTGCTGACTTTTTGTTGACAAATGGTTTTCTTTGTCTCTTTTTCTATACTAGAACAATAGTGGCAATGCAATTCGACCGCAATTTACTGAACAATAAAAAAAAAAACTTTTTTTTTACTTTAAAATCTCAGGTATATTCAGGGAACCTGCGTTTATTATTAAGTATACATTTCAGGGAATTACAGGTAATTCATTAAATGTCTAAATGTTGTGTGTATGTATGTGTGTGTTTAAATGAAACGAGTGAATGTGTTATGACCGGGATGTTTTGATGATATTTTGCTTTATTCCAATGGCCGTTCGAATGGAGCTTAACTGCATCCAGCCAGTTTAGATTTTTGTGCTGAATAGTACGATAATAAATAATATAAACTACAGTACAAATAGGTAACTACCTCATGAAATATAACGAAACAATTCAAAGTAGTTTTGTTGGCCTTTTTCGATAAAATACAAATGTAAAAAGTATTTCACGCACATTTATATAAACTTCGCTACCTCTGCACAGTCTCAGGAAATAAATAATAAACGTATAATAGTATAAATTACATAGTGTATTCGCGCTTGCCTTTTCTGATGGTATACATTTTATCGAATCTCCGTTATAAGCTAAAGCAACAATACTATACCTTCACATTATGTATCGTTACTGCAAATATTGCAAGTGTTAATATAATAATAAAATGCTGTATATTAAAAATTAATGTTTATAAACTTGATGTTTAGACATACAAAGTTCGAGTTAAAATTCTCCATGTGAAATAATAATATTTCTAAGATTAATGCTCAAATAATATTTTTCGTTTTGCTTTCACAGACATTTTACAAAAGCAATTGTAAAGATGATTGTCAACTGTTCAGTGTGCGCCAGGAATATTGCATTGCCACGTGTTGTGTATTTGCCTAAAGGGCAGAAAACTCTGTACGCTCGGAGTATAACAACTATTGTAACTGTACATAAGTAATTTAAAATCAAGTAATTTACAATGTATTCATGTTTGTTTTACCTTATTAATTTTAATAAACAAATTGACGTTTACTTAATGTTTTATTGTAGACTAGCTTTTATTCCACCACTTGATGAAGAAAAGATATCCTTGTAAGAAAACTTTAAGAAAACACTTGGTATGGTAATTTCACAATGGAATTTATTAAAAACTCTGTCAATTGTTTCGGCGATTAAGCTATTTTCAAAGAGTATCTGTATCTGTAATTTGCTGATTTTTTTTTATAATTCAAACATGCTTAACCAAGTCAATTTACGAAATGATATCCTACATAAGTAAATAACTCCTTTTCATATTTTTAAAAAGTATCATCAAAAAAGGTAACTATTTCGATAACACAGATACTTAAAATTTATTAGTACTTAAAATACTACTGGAGTGGTGTGAAAAATAAAATCGTCAAGCGACAGATCTGATAATCGATTGGGGTCGACAGTCGAAGGTTGCTAACCCTGCTACTCTGCTAAACACATACCTAATGGATAAATATTCGATGCAATTTGTCTATATGTATAATAAGATCTGGGCTCGTTTAGGATTTGTTTAATTAATGAGAATTCTATAGTTTCTTGTTTCTAAGTTTACTTGTGTTGTACTTTAACATAAATGCCCGAATGCCTTCGAAATTTCAATCCCCATTTGTATTGCTTTCTATTGTATCGACCCGCTTTTTGTCATAAATGAATCGCGAAATTCTAGAGCGAAAGATTTAAAGACAAACGTCCAAAACAAATTCCGACTAAATTCCTGTAAAAATGCGGAATTTGCGCAAAAAACGATTTTCTAATGAAATATTTCACTTTGAGTCATTATTCTATTTATAAACGTAAATTGATGTGTGAAAAATAACTCATTGGTATTGAATTTCATCTTAGAAGATTTTGTATGGAGATTAGTCTAGAGATGTTTTCAATTCGATATTGTGAAGGTTAGCGCAGGACAGGAAAGGTGGAGGTGCGTGTCCAACCAGTCCTTAGGACTGACGACCTTATGATGATGATGAACTACGACACATTTTTTTTCCGAAAAAGTTGTTATTTCTTATGGTCAATTTCATCCCTTTGACATTTTTGCCAGTAACACAGAAAAGAAAGTTATTAATTCTATTTGACAATAAATATGTATTATATATATAAAAACAGCTCATCTCATAAGTAGATCATGTCTGTATAATAACAATCCCTCGCATTATTTTTAACATCAGTAACATTTCCATCAAAGTTTATTAAATGTTTTTTTTTTTGAGTTATGAAGAAAAAGTAATTTTTGCAAAAATTATCATGCACCTTTTTTGTAGTGTACCTACTATCTCTCAGCGACATTCATGACTTAATCCATCATGTCATGCTCCGTCTCAACTAAACCGTGTAGGTAAGTATTACACAATTTAAAAAATTATATTAATATACACCGTCAAATTCCGTGCACATAGAGCAACCACAGGTGACTGGGATTAAAATAAGCCGACTAAAATCTAACTTATTTATACGCTAGTTCGTAAGAGGGCGCCAAAGGTACCAAAAAAGCCCCCATACAATTCCTGTTCGGAACCGAACGTGTATACATACATATTTTACATTAGTTTATTCATTTCTATTTATGTGTTTAGAATTTAATTAATTTTTCCTTTTCGCTGTACATATTCAAAAACTATTCAGAATTCATGTTTTATTTGTCTTGTCAATTGAGTGTGTTGTAAATTTAAACAATTCTTCTGTATGCCTTCTTTAGTGTTAGGCTTCTCCATTAAGACGATTTGTAACAGTTTGCTTTTACAATTAGTTTCGGATCCCAATAATACTTGCTTTTCCTCCTCATCATCATCATAAGATCGTCAGCCCTAAGACTGGTTGGACACGTACCTCCACTCTTTTCTATCCTGAGCTAATCTTCGCATTTCCCTAAAACTAGAACAACCCATATCCTTAACTATCTGCGAACAGTAATCTAATCTAGGTCTACCTCTACCCCTCCTAACTTCCGTTTCTGCCTCTAATGACTAGACCTTCATGCCTGAGAAGTTGTTCTACTAACCTATCTCTCCTATTTCTTACTAACTTCCATAGTGTCCTCTGCTCTCCTACTCTTTCTAATACCTCTATCCACGGTATTCTCATCATTTGTCTGTAACACCACATTTCGAATCTTTTCTTTTCCGCCGCGCCCACTGTCCATGTTTCGCACCCTTCCAAAAATACTGATACCTATCGACACTACACTAAGCATTTCTGTATGTTTACACCCCAACATGTCAACGCTTAGTTCATAAGTTTCTCTTTTTTAAGTTGTAAATAGTCGTATTCTGAACTCTGTCGAGTTACATTCAATGCATGGCCAATTCAATAAACATATAAAAAACCATTTGTTGCTTCTAATTAATTTTAGATGTACAGCAATTATATGAGAATAGTAATAACCACTTCCTCATATGTTACCAAACTACATGCAAATAACATACAACGCCAATTTTCTTAAAATATGACAATTGCGAATTTTTTTATACGTTATATATACCTATGCACAATTCAAGATACTTTGTTCCATTTATATTCACGAATATACCTACAAAAAAATCGAACGTCCATATGCGGAGTATTCGAAAGGACTTTAGTGTAGTATTAGCTGCTTAAAAATAACAAGCTTAAATACACTTTTATCGCTTATCCTTCAAAAATTATAAAAAAGAAAATGGGATCCTTTAACACCAAACATTTTCTTTATGGCACGTGTCTTGTGGTAGGGCCACGTGTTAAATGTAATCGAACCACTTATTTAAGGGCGTATAAACATGAATACAGAGATATGGACACTTTCCGAAATCGGCACGCGCCAAAGCGTGCAACCGTTTATTTGATGGTGCGAGAGGCACGTGTTGGTTTTGAAAACGAACAAACCAAATAATTATTATATCAGATAAGCACTTGCTTAGAATGTAAACTAGCCTGGAGACGCGTGCGAGTACTTTTTAAGCTTCCGTATTTTTAACGTTACAAAATAGGTACGAACTTATTAAGGGTGTCATTATGAGTAATATTTTTTTAAAGGGTGATAGCTTTATTGGACATACATATGTAAATTTACCGAGTGGATGTATATTTCGATGACACCCGTGGGATTTTCGTAATAGGAAAAAGAAGAAGACGACAACTAGTAACAGATTACATATTCTCCTCTCCCCGAGAGAAAAATTAATTCCAAATGGGAAACATGAAACTATTTTTCAAGTTCTAATACCGCACCATCATCATCATATGGTCGTCAGTTCTAAGACTGGTTGGACACGCACCTCCACTCCTTCCTATTCTTATATCCTGAGTTAATCTTCGTATTTCCCTAAAACTAGAACAACCCACATATGTACTAAACTATTTGCGAACAGTAAACTGATCTAGGTCTACTTCTACTCCTCTTACCTCCTGTTTCTGCCTCTTATATGACTCTGACTAAACCTTCATGCCTGAGATGTCCTACCAACCTATCTCGACTATTTCTTATTGACTTCCATAGAGTCCTCTGTTCTCCTATCCTTTCTAATACCTCTTCATTTCTAATCTTCTCTATTCACGGCATCCTCATCATTCGCCGGTAACACCACATTTTGAACGCTTCTAACCTGTTCTTTTCTGCCCCGCCCACCGTCCATGTTTACACACACACACCTTTAAGAATTTTTTTTTGAATTTCTAAATTAATCGTTCTCAAGCAGAGAAATGATTTCTTTTTATTGAAGGCGATTCGACCCTGCGCTATCCTCTGCTTTATATCTTTTTGACTTATTTTACTTCCTAGATACCTAAAATCAGCCACTTCTTGTAATCTTTCGTCTGCTATCTTTATATTCGTTCTCTCCATATTTCCCTTGTATTCCAGTATTTTTGTTTTATTTTTATTTATTTTCATACAATACTGTTTTGTAAAATACCGCAAAAGATTAGTATGCTCATATTTGCACATGATACAGGAGTATTAGCATCTAGCAAGGAGGAGCTAGAGATAGCTTTAAATAAAATGGAAGCGGTATTGGTATTTTCGGTATCTAGGAGGTAAAATAACTCAGGATGGAAGGAGCAGTAGAGATATAAAACAGAGGATAGCGCAGGGTCGAGTTGCCTTTAACAAAATGAAGTCACTTTTGTATTAGCGAAAAGTTAATTCATTAATTCCAAAAAGATTGTTAAAGATGTACGTCTGGAGCAAGGCGCTGTAGGGGAGCGAAACATGGACGGTGAGCGCGGCGGAAAAGAAAAGGTCAAAAGCGTTTGAAATGTGGTGTTACAGGCAAATGATGAAGATATCGCGGATAAAGAAGTTTATAAATGAAAAGGTATTAGAAAGAATAGGATAACGGAGGACTCTATGGAAGTCAATAAGAAGTAGGCGATATAGGTTGGCAGGACACCTCTTAGACATGAAGAGCTAGTCGGATATATTAGAAGCAGAAACAGTAGTTAAAAGGAGTAGAGATTCACCTAGATTTAGGAAGCAGTTTTAGGAACGACCTTATAATGATCATGACGATTTAGCAATACTCTTTCGATAAGTGTAAAGGAGTCCTATATTTCAGTGATAAATTTTCTTCAATAAAAAATTTACTGAGAAGAAGCAATTTCTATTTTGTCCACATTTGAGATAGAAATCCGGCGGCCACTATTGGATTGAAATTTTGAGAAAAGGAGCCTTTTTTATAGTTGTTAATCTTGCTAAAATTTTATCCCGATCGAATAAATAGGTCAGCAACAATTTGTCAACAAAAAAAATTATTAATTTCATAATGCTACCAAATGCCAATTATTGATCCGTTACGATCTGTGTGAAACCAATTGAAGAATCTTACTTAAAAATCGGGTTTACAAACAAGTAGCCAAAAGCAATGTTAAATAATGAAAAGATATAATTTTGATAATTGGATATGATAGAAGTACCGTTCCTATACATTCTCTGATAGCATAGATCATGGCAGATTAATGATTAGCATTTGGTAGCATAAGAAATGAATAATCTTTTTTAACATATTAATTGTTGCTCACCTATT